GGGCAGCGAGACGTGAGGCCTCACCTCAATCCCCCCGCTTTTCCCGCCGAGGCACGGACCAGCAACGGGCTCCTCCGGTCCTCGTCGTGGAGGCAGGGCTCGGGCGAGCGCCTCACCGCACTCTGTCCGCGAAGCGCAAAGGAAGGGCGGCGCACTCGGGTCAATGTAAAACCATTTTTTAATTCTAAATCACTTTCACAACAGTGAAAATTAGTGAACAGTAACGGTAATGCACTAAACAAGCCTTTTTTAATTCTAAATCACTTTCACAACAGTGAAAATTAGTGAACAGTAACGGTAATGCACTAAACAAGCCATTACGGGCCGTGTGCAGTAGGGTACGATACAAAAAGCACACCAAGGAAAGGGCAGGAGCGGAAGCGGTAACACTTTTAGACTATTTCATTCTTGGATTGCCAGAAAATAAGGACTCTCGGGCATGTTTCTGCAGCCACCTCCGTCTAAACCCATCATGTCTCTCACCAATAGATGGAAAAAGAACCCCAAGCTGTTAGAATTCTGTATTTTAAGACATAAGCGCTAGTTAATTCAGTTTCAATACCCTTTGAACCTATCACGGTCACTTTTTGTCCTCTTTCTCGGAAAAAGGCTCTGAAGGGCTGCCCTGCTCCTCCCTGGGTAACCTCTGCTCCCAGCACCCAGCTTCCCAGCACCAGGAGCAGGGGGAACCCACCGCTTCCCAGCAGCAGGTGGTGCTGCCGGCGCACCCCGAGCCGGCCCTCCAGCTGGCTGGGAACCCAGCGAACAGCCTTTCTCCTAGAAAGGGGCCTAGTTACCAAGTCAGGCACTTGAGAAGAGCCACACGCACAAGCGAAGCTTCTCCAAAGTGCCACACAGCAGAAGGTGAAGCACCACTTCGACTGTTTATAGCTGAGCAATATATTCTGCCAGATTATCACCCAGTCAGGTGTAAATTTGACTAGATGTGGCAAAACACCGCAAAAGCACTACTTGCCGCGTGAAATTCTGGAGGTAGGCAAGTTAAACTTCAGTCATCCTTTGTCTTGATGTTAAAAGTGAACAGTTTATAATTACATAAATAAGCTTCTACAACAATTAATTAAGGTGTCCTGCCCTGGAACCTCATCCATACACTAGAAAATCCCTAGCTATTAACACAAAGTTTCTATGAGTTGATTTGTTTTGTCAGTTGTCTGTCTGTTGCCAGAGAAGTCGCAATATTAATCTTGAAGGAAATCATTATGACTATCAGCGACCTGAATCAAAATAATCTAAAAGCAATAAGAGAAAAAAAAATGGAATTGCCTAGTCAGAGAAATACGAAAACTGTTCATCTTGCTAGGGAATCTCTCGTATCGGCTGTTCTGAAGGAATCTACACAAACACATCCGGAGTACTCTTTAAAGCTGTATACCCAACAGGATCCCAAAACGGCTACCGAGTGCTCACCTTCTGAAACCTGCTCCTCTCAGCACAGACACGGTTGTGGTCTCCTCCAGCACTTCTAGTCAGTATCTTTGGTAGGTTCTGCAGAGACTCCTGCACCATGGCCACTCTGCTGCGGCATGGAGCAGCTGTGTGCACCCAGAGAGGGAAGCTCTTCCAAACGTTCCCTACTGTGGCATGTGCTAGCCAAGGCAGGATCTCATTTTTCCTCCTGTATAATTTTACAGTGTGACAAGTTTAACTTCAAAACTCACATAAAGATGTCTTTTGTTCCTCTCCCCAATCAAGCTGATCTCAGATCTGTAATAGGATTTTATTTGGAGTACATGACCTTGCGTAGAAAGTCTCAAAGCCTTGGGAAGAATAAATGTAGCTACAGTGACAAAGTTGTGAGGGGATTATCCATGAGCGCAGCCACAGGCTGCTGTGCAGAACCAAGGAAGACAACACTGTTTAGTCAGTGAGGAACTGGGCCGGGTGAGGCAGATACGTGCGTCGTACTGTTCGGCAACCGCACCCCGCTCCGCAAGGAGAGAATCTTCCAGTGTCTGGCTCCAGCAAAGTCAGGCTTTAAAAAATTGCAGCATAAATTTATATGTCCCCCTTCTTCTAACAGCCATCAGAGCTGCTTCAGGAGGGGTTTTCCACCACGCTGGGAAACAACAGCAAGAAACGAAACCAGTCTCCAAACCTGGCTCCATTTGCATCGCATGCTGTGCCCAGAGTCTCAGCGGTGCTGCAGATGGTTTCCTGAAGAAGGCTGGATGCTGATGTAAAGACATTAAATAACGTCCGCAGCTCCGGCAGATCCGTCGCCAAGCATGCCAAGCATGAGATACTGATCACATTGCAGGAGTTTCCTTACCTGCCCGGTCTACCTTGGGGCAACTGTCTTTCACGTACACCTGGTGTCACTGATTGGCACAGGATTTCAAAGCAGCGCTCCTTTTAGGAGCGGAGCTCAAAGTTAGGCCCATGGTCTGTGGCAGGAACCTGTTGTACAAGATAGCTGAGCTGAAATATGCTTTTTAACCAATGTTTAATTTCCGACTCTGGTGCAAAATCTGAGACTCCTCATTGTGCTGTGGTACCACCAATTCCTGAAGCCCACAGTTAGCTACGGAACCAGACACCAAGAGGTTTAAAATGGGACGGGGATGCAGTTTGTAACTGTTTCAGTGGCCTTGTTGGCCATGAACATACAGAAAAATGGAAAAGATTTATGCAATCAACAGCCAGAACATTATCACCAGAGCCACAAACAGGAAGAGGCGGGAGAGGAACTGCTCATCCACATATTGAGGAGTCCCTGGAACAGCTGGAAAACAGGAAATGAAAAAAACAGTTCAGCTCCTTCCCCTTCTCCAGAATAGTGTATATTCTGAACATACTACATTCATAAATGGAAAGACACACAAGAAATCTACTTGGTGAGAAACTGTTGCTACTTCCTACCCTCAGACTGGCCAACCGTATGGGAAGACAAGCACCAGCTCCCTGCAGCAGGACTCCTGGTAAACCTTGTCATGACCAACAGCAGCAGGCAGCTCCAAGTGCTGGAGTACTCGCAGGGCTGCTCGGAGTACTTCTGGGGCCAGCGCTGAGCCAAGCTCACGGCTTAGTTCACTGCTGACTGCTGAGCTAAGCTTACTGTTTCCATCCTAAGGAACTCTACCAACTCCACCTGAGCGCTCCTCCCCATCAAGGCAAAACATCTCTGAATAAGGAAATGGTAGAACAGTCAAAGCCACATGCGCAGGCTTGACCAAGAGAACTAATGAAAAGCACAAGAGCTCTAAAGCTCAACCTGTGCCTTTCTGGAACTGCTGTACCGAATCCACAGATGAAAAGCAGATAAAGGAGGTGATTAAATTGTGGCTGTTACAACAGCATGTATTTCCATATTCTTTGCCTCAGTCACACCTCCAAATTTGCAGCAGACAGTGAAGTGTAGTTAATAGGCACGTTAATTTGACCCAAGGACAGCAACACAGCTGTGACATGAAGAATGTGTTTCTGTTTCTCAAATTCCTACGCCATATGACATGTTAAAGAAGATTTGCCAGGCACAACCTTCCACAGAGGAAGTCCAGAAAATCCTGGGCAGTAGGGTTTTCTTGTTCAAAACAGGTAGACTCGGTTTGTCTACAGTGCAGATGGGGAGCACGCTTTCTCGGGATTACTTAATTTTTAGAGAGTGAGGCCACTACTTGGCGTAACCCAAATGTTTTCTCTTAACTAAAAACAGTAAAATGATTTCACTAGAAAGTTACTTCTGTGGAATGCAGATGACTGTCTCAGCGACAAATTTCTGAAAAAGGAACAATCTCTGCTGTCATTATTTCGTGGTGCAGAGCACCAGTTTAAATTTTTCCTTCCCACCTTTCAGGAAATGGTCCTTTCCTGCTGTTTTCAAAACACGGGTCTCCTTCATACACCCCTACCGACTCCTTTTTGTTATTATTAGAAACTCTAGTCCAATTTGTCTCGTTTTGCAGAGGGAGGCTGCTGGAGTACCAGAGGAGACATTTGAACTAAAGGGGAGAAGTCTCCAGTGCCACTGTCCCTCTCCAGTCCTCCTGTCCTCTCAGGAGGGCCTTCAGCAAATCCTATGCAGTGACCAACTTGCTTCTTCTCTAAGCACCTGTACAAAATGTGTAAGCCATAGACTATGCTCTCTGCTGGCCATTTTCCCTCATTTTGTGTTTCTATATACAACACTGATTTACTGGGCTGTTCAGAAAGCTATGTCATTTCACAAGCTATTTGTTTAAAAGTTAGAAGGGAGTCTGTAAAACGTCTGTTTGCAACAGGACTCTCGGAGAAGACAGGATGCATGGTACCTGGAGGAGGTCGCCCGTCATTTATGTTGAATGCTGTCGCAAATATACCGAAGGGAAACGCCCCAATTCCGAATGACATTTGGAAGCCACCATCGCCAAACCCAAAGCCCTGGAATCCCTGCAGAAAACAAAGCAACAGAAGAGAAAAGAAGGTACTAATCATTTAAAGCCTATTGCAGAACATTTTGTAAAAGTGCAGGCATTCCCTCTCACTGGCTTTCCTACAGCTGAAGGAGTTATCACCCTGTCTGGCAACTTTCAGTCTGCCACACTACTGTTAAATATGTCTTTAGTTCTCATGGTTTTAAAATGTTTCACACAGTAGCAAACTACTTGCCAGAGCAACCCAAAAGTTTGTGAAAATGCAAACTAGGAAACGCAGTTCTTGCTTGAAGGCCATGAGTGTTTCTGTAACATTTCTCAACTTAAAGTAGTATGTATCTGACAAGATATCAAAATCAACATTACCAATTCTGTTTGGAATGTCTTAACAATGTGTTAATAATTCTGTATTAATAGCTATTGGTCATGTGACTAAGAAAGGCATTGTAAAAAAATAAGCTGCATTGATTTTCACGATACATGTGCATCATTTAAACATGCAGTAAAGTGATCAATTGCCAGTGGGAAGCATAGAACATTATAGAGAACAGTACAAAAAAAAAAAGTTACCAGGTAAGGAAAGGAGGAAAAAAGGAAGAGTTACAATGCAACAACGTTCACCCCTGTGGGATCCAGACTACAATACCACATCAGGTCAAAAGCTAAGTCTTTTGAATCAAGATGAATCCGCCTGTAGAAAAGCAGCGCGCTATTTGAGAACCTATGAATCTAAGTAGTTGCCTCATGTTTAAAACCCATGGAGAGCTCACAGTCACCATGTTCTGTAACCCAGCAAACTGTCCTCTCGTCTCAGAATTAAAACAGCAATACTAATTCTAAAAAACCCTCTGGTCTATCACCTCCTAACAGTGGGAGGACAAAGATGATTTCACTCATACAATAAAAGCCAGACATGTCTGAGTTGATCTTTGATTTGACTTATGACTCTTCTCAAGCATTTCGCACTAACTACCAGGGACAGCAAAGCACCCTGCGTGGCCTGAAACAGGCGGGCAGCATCAGTACTGCTATGGCTTCATACCAGACGCCTCTGACTTACGGCAGCAGCAGCTAAAAGGTTCAACCAAGGTACAGCAGCTGATTCAATAAGAAGGCAACTCCCTGGCGAGAGAGAACAACTCAGCTCCCAATACATTCAATAGAGAAATGTTCATTAATCACACCCAGCAGAGTTGTTTGCCCGAAGCATGAGGTATACAAACGCTCTCCGAGGACCCCAGGCTGCGTTACAGGGAAACACGCAACTGTTTCATCAGGTCATGCTCGTGGCCCTTGTGCTAAAAACACTGTCGTCTGCCCTACTGCCTACTCCCGAGTCTGTTCAACCTACCCAGCTGCTGTTTACATTCACTCTATGTCATTTCCTCAGCAAAACCACAGATCCCTCTTAAAATTAACATGTATCCAACAGTTATCTACATTCTTTCGCTTGTAAGGCCATGGTATTGTAACATCCCATAGAAATGCTAGAAGCAGGCGTCAGTGCCAAAAAAGCAAGTTCGCATATGGAGTACGTATTTCCATGCCAGGTACAGTTTGACAGAAATACACTTCCACAAAGAATTTTCAAAGCAAAATGTTCCTTGTATTTGTATAGGGAGAATGATCAAGTATGAAGAGTATTTCCAGTGATGCCACACAGGGCTGTTCTCATGAAGCACGATTCAAGTTAGCCCGTTATTTGGGAACTATAGGAATGGAGTTTTCTGTCACACTGCAGATATGAACTATTCATGAATAACCTACTGGGGATGAGCAAGAAGTGTAAGCTGTAGGACCCTCACATAGGATCTCAGGCACACATTATGTTCTCCAGGATTAATAAATACCACCATCAACAAAACAACTTATCTGCTCGAGCTTGTTTTTTCACTTACCCCTCTGTTCTCTGGTTCAGGTCTCTGTCCTTGGGGTCGTGGCGGAGTTTTCTCTCTGCAGGAAGTTGTGAAATTAGCTCAAGTGCAAGGACACATGACAATAGTACGGACAAAACAAACACAGAGCACGTTCTCACAGGGCTGTGCTGCAGCAGAGCTGGAGGTAGTGTGTGAACGAGTAAACCGCCCAGCTGCACGCACCTTCAGCGTCCTGAATTAAGATACTGCACTAAGATACAGCGTCACTGAATTAAGATACTGCACTTTTGAATAACAAAGTCCCGTTGCAAATGCTAGAAACTGACGACACAAACAGTTTATATAAACTTCTCCAGTCAGACAACATTCGTTGCAACCTGCCACTTATAACTGATAATTAACACCCAATTCAAATAAAGATAAATTGCCAGTTGAACAAGAAATGAGGTGTACAAACCCAGGCCCTGAAAAAGCCAGAAACATATGACAGAAATGTCAGTTCTATCTGCCTTCTGACAAAGTATTTCAAATTGTGAATGCAGTACTTTAGTAGTTTCATCTCTTAAGATCTTAAACCAAAGTTTCATCTTCAGTTTTCACAGAAAAATCATTGTATTTAGGTTTCTTACCTGGGATCCTGTTGCCCAGTGCTACCTCTTCCATACAGAGGAATAACTTTATCTCGACTGATTCCTGCTTTGCATACAGGGCACACTTGTCTGTTTGGCCTGGTCTCTAGCCACTAAAAGAAAAGAAATTGCAAGAAAACTAGTAAAAGACCACGAAAATAACAACATGCAAACCTCATTTGCCACCAGGCAGAGAGACCTTAGCAATTTCTCGGAAAGCCATGGAGTAAAACGTTTTAATAAGCGCCAAGTACTCTCCAAAGTGTTGGCATTTTGGCTATTGTTCTGGTACGATCCACTTGCTGACGTGCACACATTCAGAACTGCACTGGAGTAAAATATGAAGAAATAAACAGCACCAACAGTCCTGCACAGGCCAAGAGCTAGTGTAGATACCCTCCTTTCATCTAACTTTTCTATAATTGTACCACAATGTAAAACACTACATATGCAAAGAGAAGTATGCTCAGCACTTAAGCCTGCAAACTAAACCTCTGTGAACTGCCTACAGCAAGTCTCCTACCAAAACTGGGAATCCTCAGTGTTTAAGAAACCCGAAAGTGGGAGGCAAGTGGAACAGAATCTAAGTTTTCTTTTTGCTGAAAGAGCAGATTGCAAGGTGTTGCGCATGAAGTTGCATTAGCACACTGCAGTTGCCCTGGAGAGAAAGAAGCGCATTTGAAAAGAGGGGGATACTCCAGAGAACCAAGGGCTTTATTGAGTAACAGGAGCTGATGAAAGACAAAGTAAAAGGAAACCTGTCTTACCTGGTGTAAACAAGGCCAACTGTGAGCATTCCCAGGACAATTTGTTCACAGAGCAGAAAAAGAGGGGAAAACAGAATTAGTTACTGACACCCGAACCGACAAATGTATAAAGTGTACCACAGACAGCACAGCTTGGAGACAACAGAATCCTGGAATCCAGCTGGGCCAGTTCCATAACCTCCCATTAAGATAATTTTTGAAAGCTCAGCCCAAGCCTGATCTCCACCGGTCTTTTCAGGTTATGCAATCTAAGTTGCTAATGTGATTCTCTGCATATCACCTTTGATCCCTGGGTCCTCATCCACACCAAAGGCCCATACAGAGGCTTACTTAATCTTACTGTTTACTGTACACATTTTCTCTTCTGATACCATGAAAAGATATCCCTGAGCTAAGATGCAAATGAGGAAGATGTCAGTAATGAGACTTCCATCTTCTCCTAGAACAAAAAAACTGGATTTTCAGATGTTACATATATCTACACAGAAAAGAAATGCTATTCTAGGCTTGTCTTTATTAAAGAGCACAATGTAGCCTACTGGGTAAAATAAACAAAAAAAAAAACCAAAAACACCCAAACATTTGGCCATGTCAATCCTTAATAACTTCTTAAGATTCAAGAAAGAGTATATTCTAGACCACGCTACCGAAATAAGAAATGTTACGAGCTTATTATATTTGTGCAATACATTCCCAAGTCAGATCAAAGAACTGAAAGATTAGTATTACAACTACAATACCATGGGCAGAGAGAAATAGCCTGAGTGTAAAAGCTTGTTACCTTTTTTTTTTTATGGGTTCAAAGGAAAAAAATGCAAGCTTGTAGGAAGCACAAAAACTACAATTTGGCCTCCAGAACCTAGTTTCAGATGCAGGTTTAGGTATGCACAAGTTAGGAAGGAATTCTGGTCTGAACAAGGTATCTATGGTAGACCAGACAGCACAAATAAAATAACACACATAACCAGGCAGTACCAACGAACACTGAACTGTCTGTGTGGGGCTGCTTGTTTGTTTGCTTTTACAAAATAATCCAGAAGTATAGGACGTTTAAGAAGCAAGAAACCAAATCTCTGGAACGTGAGCAAAGAAAACCAGTCAAAAAGCAAAACCAAACTGCTCCTAAACCAAAACCATGGTCCTTACTTATTTTATACAGGATATTTGATTTGACGTTGTTCTGGTTTTGGTTAAAATAGAACCAATTCTCTTTTAGTGAACCTTCCTTACAGCTAAGTTCTTCTAAGTAACTGCATTTTTTGATACATTGGCTTCCAGGTTAGACTACTGACTCAAAACGGGATTTCTTTCAAAGTAGGTTCCTTATACTCTCTCAGCTGAACAATCTGATCAGATACAAGGCACTACAAACACCAAATCTAAACCGTGCAAGAACAATGCGAATATAACGCCTTTGCAGGCCTAAATTCACAGCTGGCACTACTATTAACCCTCTAACTCTGTTAACTCTAAACAGTGACAGACACCTAGAATTATATAAATCAAAGGCTTTTACGTGCTCAGCGACACACACAGTGTTCCGGTTTTATTGGGGGGGGCTTGAGTCCTTACCAGAAGAGGTGTCCACACAAGCTGATAACTGCATCCTTGGCAGTGTCTAAACAGATGTTACATTCGAAAGTGTTGTCCTGATTAGCATTGTCCCCAGCACCATTACTGCTACTGCTGCCACTGGTCCCTCCAGTATTGGAGCTCTTTGTTGATGTAGAAGTCGTGGGTCCTTTGCTTGCCATCCTCAAGAGTTACCCAGGCACAAGGTCACAAGAATCTTCCCGTTGGAATCGTAGAAGTGAGAAAGGGAAAGAAAAAACAAAAAACCCAAACAATTTCTTAGCTTTGTAACATTGTATTCTTGTCCTGTTCCAAACTAGTAGTGACTTACCTAAGAAGGACGGGAATCCTATTGTTGATGGTTTTAGTTTAACATAGCCAAGAGGGATCTTTTTTTAGAAACTAAGCTACTTTAAAGTCCTGTAGTATCACCTGGCTGATACGTGACCTGTATCTTAAAGTTACTGATAAGTAACTGAGATCCACAGCCAAAAGAAAACCATTGTATTTTCTCATAAATGAGATTTGCTACGAGAAGAATGAGCTCACCTAGTCACACATGCTCTTCCAAAAATTCAGTGCTAGTGACAACTGTGAGTGCAGTCTGAAATAGAATTTAATCACGAAACAACTCACAGTTCGGACAGACTGACTTAACGCATAGTTTTTAAGTCCAATGTTCATTAATTTGGAAAATTAATAATAATGGCAAGCAAAGGTAGTTTAGTACTTGATTTGTCTCATCAGCAGTATATTGCTGCTATCACAGCAGTGTGTTGATATGACTACCAAACATTTTTAGTACTTTCAAACTATCAAACATTTCTCATCTAGTAGCAATGCAGAAGCACTAAAAATTTTACTTTAATGTGCTGTAATTTTACTTACATGCTTTTACCTCTCATTAACATCATATTTATCAAAGAACACCATTTATTTTATTTCAGTAGCAACAACCTCTCAGTGTAATTCCTTGATACGCAAATTCTAAAACTTTGACACTTGGCACAAGGCATTTACATTTCCAGAAACAAACACTTTGACCGGTACAAGATCTTCAATACAAGAACTAAGAGATTTTTAGCAGTTACAGAAATAAATTCACCAAAACAAAAATGTTTAAAATACGGCACTGTGCTTTTCATGAAAGTCTGACATCATGTTGCTGCTGCAGGGATATGAATACCTAGATAAGGTTCTGAGAAAGAAGCAGGTGATTATCTGAACTTTTTGTGAGTGTACAAACAGTTAAGCATTTTAAAAGGGCTACCTGAATTTTTCAAAAGCTGATTTCTTTGCAAACTTACCCCACAGCATTAAAGGCTTTCCTCAGCGTTCCCCCTTTGTAGCAGCACTGAAGCACAAGAGCAGGGCAGCAAAACAAAACCTCAGTATCTCTACCTGTTAATGTCAACGGTTTTTTCATACAACACAATCCCACCACACGGTGAAGAAAGCACCATACTCAAGCCTCATGAAGGTATTGCAATGAAGACACTCAATTACAGCAAGTCAAATATATTTGTGCAGAGCTTTTCACTCAGTTACATCATTTTGCACAGTGTCCCAGAGGGGCAGCTTTGTATTCGCAGATGCTGTACTTTAACATACATTGCTTTCAGCACTGCTGACTCTCAGTGTCTCATACCGTGACTTCATTTACACTCAGCAGCAACGCAGTTCATTGTACAAAATCAAAATTCAGGTTAGTTCAAAGCAGATGGAAACGCTGCCAGCCCACAAACAACATGCTAAAGACACTTGGGTTTTTCATACATCCTTACTACCAGAATCTTCAGCCTGTCTTGCTCAGTATTTTAATGCTGAAAACTTACCAACTTGGACTTATACATGTTTGCTGGGAACTAATATCAACATCAAGAAAACCTCATTAAAACTAAGGAGTTCAACACATTTTAAAAAACACTAGCATCATTTTATGGAATGGGCACAAGAAATGTCTGGTGCTCATATCTTGGCAAATAACACAAGGAAAACCTGTAGAAGAGGCATATACATTAATTTCTGCATCCCTAAAAACAATGTGGCAAAACAACTCCCTTTTTCCAAATTACATTCCGTATATTTAACATCAGAAATCTGGAGACTCATCAGAAAGATAAAATCTGTATCTTCACAAACACCTACTTAAAAAACCCTGAGCTTTTAGTAACTATGAAAAACAGATAAATCATCGCAAGTGGAAGAAAAGAAGGTTATCAGGAGTAGTCAGCATGGATTCACCTAGGGGAAATCATGCCTGACCAATCTGATAGCTTTCTACGATGACATGACTGGCTGGGTAGACGAAGGGAGAGCCGTGGATGTTGTCTACCTTGACTTCAGCAAGGCTTTCGACACAGTCTCCCATGATATCCTCCTGGGGAAGCTGAGGAAGTGTGGGCTGGATGAGTGGTCGGTGAAGTGGATAGAGAACTGGCTGAATGGCAGAACTCAGAGGGTTGTCATCAGCGGCGCTGAGTCTAGTTGGAGGCTGGTGACAAGTGGTGTCCCTCAGGGGTCAGTACTGGGCCCAGTCTTGTTTAACTTCTTCATCAACGACCTGGATGAAGAGTTAGAATGTACCCTCAGCAAGTTTGCTGACGACACCAAACTGGGAGGTGTGGTAGATACACCAGAAGGCTGTGCTGCCATTCAGCGTGACCTGGATAGGCTGGAAAGCTGGGCAGAGAGGAACCTGATGAGGTTCAACAAGGGCAAGTGCAGGGTCCTGCACCTGGGGAGGAACAACCTCATGCACCAGTACAGGCTTGGGGTGGACCTGCTGGAGAGCAGAGAGGGACCTGGGTGTCCTGGTGGACGACAGGTTAACCATGAGCCAGCAGTGTGCCCTGGCTGCCAAGAAGGCCAATGGGATCCTGGGGTGCATCAAGAAGAGTGTGGCCAGCAGGACGAGGGAGGTTCTCCTTCCCCTCTACACTACCCTGGTGAGGCCTCATCTGGAGTACTGTGTCCAGTTCTGGGCTCCCCAGTTCAAGAAAGATGAAGAGCTACTGGAGAGAGTCCAGCGGAGGGCTACAAGGATGGTGAGGGGACTGGAGCATCTCCACTACGAGGAGAGGTTGAGGGAACTGGGCTTGTTCAGCCTGAAGAAGAGAAGGCTGCGAGGGGACCTTATAAATGCCTACAAATATCTGAAGGGTGGGTGTCAGGAGGATGGGGCCAAGCTCTTTTCAGTGGTGCCCAGTGACAGGACAAGGGGCAATGGGCACAAACTGAGGCACAGGAAGTTCCGTCTGAACATGAGGAAGAACTTCTTCCCTCTGAGGGTGACGGAGCACTGGAACAGGCTGCCCAGGGAGGTTGTGGAGTCTCCTTCTCTGGAGATATTCAAGACCCGCCTGGACAAGGTCCTGTGCAGCCTACTGTAGGTGACCCTGCTTCGGCAGGGGGGTTGGACTAGATGACCCACAGAGGTCCCTTCCAACCCCTACTATTCTGTGATTCTGTGATTCTGTGATTGAGTTACGAAGAAGGATGATAGAGAAATCCATAAGAATATCAGTAATATAATGGAATAAAGATGGCCGAGACAGAAGTAAGATCAAAATGATGTAATGCAACAGGCACTGAACCTACTCTCCCAGAAGAAGGTCATTCCTTTGTCTGTACTGGGATCCTCTCCTAATTATTTCTCTATAGGCTGATTGGGCCTGATGACCTATTAGGATATAACCAATTTAAAATACGAAAAATATGTCAAAACACAACAATAAAATAATCAGTCTTGTTCTGAAAAGCCTTCTCAACCTTTGCTCTTGTCCATGGAACACTGTTTAACGTAACTAGGTCTACAGGAAGTGCTGTTGGGTCTGTTCACCTGCACACCACGCTGCACACACACAACGAAGCACGCAAGAAACAGCATCCAACGACTAAACTTACATTTGATAATCATGTATTGTGTCACTTGTGAGCATGGCCTGTGAATGCTACAGTGGAAGTTCAATGGCACACTCAACTTGTTCCAAGTGCATAACAAGCTCAAAAATGTTGAAATGTCACTTGAACTACTTAAACTGAGACAAAACTTTTTAGGGGGAAAAAAACCCCAAACCACAAACTGAAAAAAAAAAACCAACACAACAGGCCATATCAACCCCATTTTCATTTTGATTTACTGTTCAGAAGGAAGACTGTGAGTACACTGGGATATAACATGACTTTTGGGGTTAAATAAACAGAATTTAGAGATGCCAGTCCAGGTTTGCTAAACTCTTGTCCTTTAGATCAGGTCTCCAAATCAACGCTGGACACATGATTAGTAGCAAACAAAACAAGTGAAAGGATCTAAAAATCAGCTGTGATCTAACTGCAAGCATTCAAGGTTTTCTCTTTTTTCTTTCTTGCTTCTTTGCTCTCTGGATATTTACAGGAAAACAGTATCTTTGTTACTTAAAAGCCATCTGTATTAGCTGTTCATTTCCCTTACATCTTGACACCTACAATATCCCAACAAATGGTTCTGAAAGTGACTGCATCACTGACATTTACTACATCCAAGAATCAAGAGTGGCAACAGATGAATGGTTAAGAAACAAAGAACCCATTCAAAGAACCCAGTAAAAAAGTCCGGTGGAGTGTGAAGAAGACACAGAAGTGACAATACATGTTTAGGGATCCAGCACAAATCCCACGGAGTTGTGTAAAGAATAACCGTGCCTGAAAGAGCTGGTGAAACTGGACCTCTGAGAAGCAGACGGCACACTGGGACCCGAAAGTTACATGACAACCGAGAGCACGGGATGTCCAGGAAAGAAGTAAGTGCAGGAGACTGGTAAGGTCTACCTACTTTGTATAAATACTGTGTATAAATCTCACTAACAGGCAATAAGAAAGGAATTTTACTCAAATACTTTAAAAACTAGATCTATAAACCTAGCGGGAGAAACTGCGCACTAGGAAAATGTGAGCCCAACGTCTACGGTAAAAGATCACGTTTCTGAACTCAGCGAGTGAAAAATGACTGCATTTGCCAAAGTACACTGACCTGACTCTAAGAATATACGAGACACACTTCAACACAGACTGGAAGAGTTTCCACTGTAAGTCCAAAAAACCCACTGGAAACACAGCAAGTGAACAATAATTCAACCTGAGAAAGACGGAGAGGGAATATAAATTAGACGCTAATGTCACCTGGATGGAACAGCTGTAGAATACATGTTCGTAGCACTACAACATTAGGATGGTTGAAGTATTTACTTTTTAATCTTCTTTTGTGAGCAGTAAGAAGAATTTCTGATAAGGATATAGGACTCTGGCTAGTTTATTAATAAACCCCCAAGTTTATCCCCCTTCACGGTATCTAATACATAGCAATGAAATAAAAAGAAGAGCATTGTTGGATGTAAGATTCCACTAGAAAGACACTCTTCCATGTATCTTTCCTTTTTTCTATTATTTTGTTATTTCCTTGATTTTATCTACGACTACTGAAATCAAAACAATCCAAATCTAGTTTCTGTCTGAAACAAGTTCTGGGTTAGTTTCTGAAGTTCTTGCTGTTTAAATCAAAGGGAAAACCTGTCAGGTTATTTTTCTATATTATTACAGTGACACTGTCATTTTCACACACATCCGACAAATTTTATAAACATTGGAAATTCTATCTAAATCTAAAAACATTACTCAGAGTTTATATAAATACACCTACTCAGAAGTTCAGCAAAAATCTGATCCTTAACCTATGACGATGGCCTGGACTTCAAGTAAAACTAACAGGTAACCTTAGTTGATAATTGCTGACAGTGCCTAGAAGAAAGTACGTTAACCTCTTGACAGTCATTTTTAGACATTCTTAGCAAATACAGGACTGAAGTCCTACTGTTAATCATTAAATGCACATTTATCTCTCCTACCTTATTGCTCTGTTCTGTCCCCCGAACATGTTACATTTTAACACCTTGGAAACATTTTCTGAGTTCACGTTTTCATCTCCTGTAAGCTGTACAGCACCGTGTACCTGCTTTTCAGTATTACCATGCAGCGGCCCCAACATACGAGTCCGCGCTATCGCCTGGCCTTGTGAAAGCAGCCATTTGCCTCAGCCCAGCGCGCCCTTGCCTGGCCTCGTTTCATGAACTGGGATTCTGCAGCGTCCGTCTGTCCGACAGCTGCCACGTCCAGGGTAGGAGCCCCCTGACAGGCTGTTCTGGCAATTCCAAGGACTCAACGCACCTCACAAACACGAGGCATTGGCACCAACAGTCACAAAAAGCAAGCGATTAGTTCTTTTTTTTTAACCGTTCCATAAAAGTATAGTAATATAGACTTCAAGAAAACAGTGCACGAATCTTCAGATACAGATTTTTATCCTCTTGCCTCACAAAGTCCAAAGGAAAAAGAAAAAAAAGAAAACCGATATAACCCGTTGAGTAATACTGCCCGAGCACCTTCCTGGTTCGGAGTGTTATGCAAAGCGGTAAGTGCCCTGTAAGTGGGCTAACCGGGTTAGCAGCAAAACGCAGAAATAAAAGAAACCAAAACA